ACATATGTAATATATATATATATAATATATATATATATATATATATTATATCATTCCATCGTTCCACAATCCAGCTTGTGTATGGGTGGAGCTTTTCTCCGAGGGGGTTGCCCGTGTGTTCCGCGAGCGTCGAACTCGCGCGCGAAATTTTTTCAAGAACACACCACCGGAATCCAAATTATCGAATGAAAATCACGTGCGATTGAGAGGATGAGATCAATGACGACGCAACATTCTACAGCTTCGATATACGTTGTTCTTGCTAACGCCTTCGTATACGTTTTCTTTATCTTTCGTCTACGTGGCTGCGAGTTCGGAGTCGCGGTGTAATACGCGTCTGTCTGCGTGTGGAGTCGTGATGTACACACAGAGACTGATTGTGTGTTAATTTCGAGTAGCAACACGGACGGCCTCTCAGGAAACATGCTGCCACGTCAATGCCTTAAGCTGATCACATCCAGTATGTTGGATGTGGGTCACGTACGGAGAGATATATAGAGGGGGAACGAGAGAGGAGAGAGAGAGAGAGAGACGAGAGAGAGAGAGAGAGAGCGGAGAGAGAGAGAGAGAGAGAGAGAGAGAGAGAGCGGGGGGGAGGCGGGAGAGAGAAACAAGATGGAAAAGAAAGTGACAGGAAGAGAGAGGTTGCGCGAGAGTGAGAGCTTAGTGTTGATATGCACGTTAATATATATATATATTATATATATATATATATATTTAGTGATGTCACGATCATCATGTTATAATAATCATCTCATCGTTAAACAGTGGCTCGAACCAAGCGCTTGCTTGGTTATCAAAATCGCATATTCGATTTCATCGAAAAAAGAAAAAAATCAAATAAATGTAAAACTTGACAAAAAAATTGGAAAAGTGATGAGAATCAGAGATATCATCGCCACTATACAAGTTATCCTTTATTAACATACATGTATTATACAAACAGTAGTAACAGTGCAAAACAAACAGTAAACAGGGTTAAACAAGCACATACATGCACACGACGTTACGCACACGCAGGCATTCAACACCCCGAGTAACGATTGTAACCGATCATCGTTACTTGGCGTCGCAACCGATGATCGATTACGAAATTACAACCGATTGACAACACTAATATTATATATATTATATATATATATATATATATATATATTGTAGACGCCCTGGCGTGTGGATTTGCCCCCGCTTAGAATATATATATATATATATACAACGATAGCGAGAGAGAAGCGCGCGAGAGAGAGTGAGAGAGCGAAGGCAGGGAGAGAGAGAGAGGGATCTGGGTGTGTGTGCGTGCGTATGTATCTGTGTGCGTGAGTGTATTAGTATGGTCGTGTGTGTGCGTGCGTATGTATCTGTGTGCGTGAGTGTGTGGTGTGTGTGTGTGTGTCTGTGTGTGTGTGTGTGTGTGTGTTTTTAATAACATGTGTTTTTAATGTGGTCTTTGTTGCTCTTTCTTGGTATAGACATGTGTATGTTAGACTGCAAAGATTATATCGAAGACACATGAAATCTATGCTAGTACTCTGAATATGCTGTAATATCGAAATCTCGGTTTCCAGAACAACAATCGGCGAATTCCTCTTCATTTCAGCATAATCGAATGATATGACACATATATCATTACAAAGTATACTCTGTATGCGTTCATAAAACATTCGTGTTGGTTCGAGTGTAATGTAAATAAAATAAACAGGCGGACCGCGCAACGGGTGGTGATATAATTACTAAATCAACAACGATAATCACCCACGTAATGTAATAAAGAAATAACCAAGATAAACATGAAACCTCGCAATAAACAGCGTAGTTCTTCGTCGCAGACTTCCGCACTGTATCATCCTTCTACTCGGGCTCACAGCGTGACGAAATATCTGGAGATTACAGTCCAATTAGCAACGTAGCATTATCGAATTCGTGTTGACATATCATATCGATTGATCCGCTCGTGAGGTTAGGCATAATCGTCCTATACAGAACGATGATAGGAGCACGCGGTCAGTGAGCGAGAGTCTGGTTAGAGTAAGCTAATGGTTAAAATAGATTATGAAATGAATTAATGACAAAGCGCATGCATGATTTATAATATGATTGCTCTCTCGACAGCAGAACAACCGCGTGCTGTTTCACGCCTTGACTGTGCATGACCTTTGCTCTCACAACGTTTTACCGCGTTGAATACAATTAGAAACTTGGCGAACGCGATATGTGAAGTATTATAGTTTCGTAGAATCTATATTAACGCAAATGTTGTACGCGTCAGACCCTATAGTGTCGGCTTGATTCACACAAGTGCTTTAGTCGTATTTATGTTTGTCCAATAAAATTTCGAGTTTTATGATAATACCGACAGCCTGTGTTTACGGTCATCACACACAACACCACAATCGTTGCGTTTTGGTCATTGACCGCGTCTAAGCCTGACAGCGAACGGGTTTCGTGTGAAAAGATGTCCAACAACCATAGCTAGTGAATTGATCGCAAGGAATCTACAGTG